GGGGAGGAAGGCTGGTTCCGCCTGGGGGCGGGGAGGCCGTGGAAGCTCCCTTCTACTCAGACAGGGCCCGTGACAGCTTCCACACAACCACTGGTTCCTCTCCAGCCCACCCCCCCGCCTCCATCCACCGCGATAGAGGCCCTCCCGACAACTCTGCAAAGATCCTGGGGCTCGCTGCCCTCCCTACTGAGAAACATTGCCCTTCCTCCCTCCTCAGTGGGAGATGTCCACAGAGCACAGTCGAGTGGGGGGTTGGAAGGCAGCCCCGGGCAGAGAGGTTTCTTGCTGCCAGCTCTGATCAGTTGCCGAGCTGAGAGCACAAAGCCAGACCCACTATACTGCTCAAGCTGTGCTTTGCAGCCAGCTCTTTGGCACTTGCACTGGGGAGCCCCACACCTGCAGCAGGGCTGCTCAGGCTGTTAGCTCATACAGCTGCTGAGCATCCATAGGCAGTGTCGAAGCACAGACCTGAATGTTCACCAGGGTTAACTGTTTCTTACCGAGGGAGGGGCAGCAGCTCATGCCAGGCAGGCTATTTCAGCTTCCTTATGCAACTGGTTCTAACCTGAGCCTGGCTACCCCAGCAGCTCCCCTTTGAAACCCACTGCATTTACAGAGCCCAGTGAGGACCCCGCATGGAGAGAAAAACAAAGTGTATTTGGAAACAGGAGGAATCTGTGCCTAACCTGGAGATAACAGTCAATATCTCATTGAGAACCTTTTATTTACAACTCCCTTTAGAGCAATTTGGTACTGTTGATTAAACTGGAACGAAATATTTTTACTGAGAAGTTTATTTAAGCAAGACTCAATTCAATCTCCAGTTCCCTCCTTTCAGAGCAGCAGATGGCCCCAAGCCAGAGGAACAGATCGTGTTTCCAAGAGCCATCTGCACCCGTCCGATTGCTGTTTGACTGCCTGGACTTGACATTGCTAATTATATCTGCCTGTTATTTCCTCTAACAGCAGAGATGGTTCTGCTGGGTCAGATGATCAGTCTTGGCAACAACAGCCAGAAATTACGAAAAACAAACCAGAGGGAGAAGAGTTTTTCAAGCTTGCCTGAGGCCAAGCAGCTAAACTCAGGCCCAACACTGACCATCATGCAGTCAGACCATTTGTTGGTCTCCAGCACTGGAAAATGATCAACAGTGCAAAAACAAGAGATATCAGGAGCTGTGTCTGGATCAGATAATTTGCAGGTGCCAAGGCCAGCGTCATGATGCAAAATAGTGCACGCACCCCACACTAGGTAGGGCCAGGAAAACGAGAGCAGCAAAACACCTCAGGGGAACTTCAACGAAGCCAAGACAATTCTCTGTTCTCTTAAGCACACCAAGAACTTGGTAAAAAGCCTGTGGGTGTCAGCACAAGCCTTTCCATGGGTGTTCCAGTGCTGAAATGACCCCTTGATGATGCAGACCTCATGCTAATGTGCCTGGAGTGCATGTATAGCCTTCTGGCCCAGCACCTGTATGGGGCGGGGTACTACCCCGACCAGAGCTGTCTTCTGGGTCAAACAGACCTTGCAGATCTGCCAAAGGCACTGTGCTGCTCCACTCTGGGTACCCAAGCTGTGCTGGTGCTCAGGCAAACCCCTCCAGGGGGTGCAATGAACTTAACCCCCAGTGAAGAAGAGATTAAGCCCCCAGCGCACCACTGGGTCTGAGGTTCCAGCCCTGCTTTCCTCTCTGGAGGGTGTTTCCAGGCATGTCCCTGCTGCAGGAGGGGCTCTGAGGGCAACCTCTGACCCACCTCAGCTCCAGCGACATTTGTCTCCCTTTTCTGAGTCACAAAGGAGAGTAGCAAGGTCTCCTACTCTGCTGCTAAGCAAGGGCCCATCTGGGTAAAAGTAAAGCCAATTTATCCTTTTTGACTGCAGTGCACTGGCATTACATCAGAGACACATTTGGTCCTGAAGCGCTCAGGAGGAAGACAGTTTTCCTATCTATCATGCTACAGAATCACAGAATCGTTTAGGTCAGAAGAGACCTTTAAGATCATCAAGTCCAACCATTAACGATATTGCCAAGTGTAATTGCAGCCTAATGAGACAACACAGATTGCTGGCAAAAGCCAGGCACAGCCTGGCACGGCTCCAAGGACTCTGCGGGACCTGACCACAGGTAAGTGGTATCAGCAGCTTCATCAGAGCCAGCAGCCTGATATCTGCATCACCCTCCTCCCCTCACACACCAGTGACTGTCTTTCTTCACCATCCCAAGCAAGCCACTTGCTCTTGCAGCCTCCCCAAGACCACAGCAGAGATTCCTGTGATCCAGCGAGCAATTTATAGCCTTGGGCCAGCACTGACTAGCTGAAATCAGTGCAGAGCAATGAAATCAGAAGAAATGACCTGCAAACAGCAGGACTGATTTCAAAGGAACCTGTCATTTAGCTCCATTGTTTGTTCTCCTTTTCTAGTAGGCTGTATCCCTGATAGCTTAATTACTTGTCTATTTGCCTTGAGAAGTACAGCTCTAACAGTGGAAGATTTAAATCCAGCACAGGAGTGAATTAAAGTGGAGTGCTCTCTGCATTGGAAGGTTCTGTTCCAGTCTCTGGAGAGGCTGCAGAAGGAGAAGAAAGCAGACAAGGAGAAGCTGGTGCTGGGAATCAACATGGTATGGCCTCGAGGGGTCCTGGTGGCAGCTGAGGGGGTTGCAGACAGGGTGAGAAACTCCCCCTGTCCCTTGGATGCTGGGTGGCAGAACCAGTCAGGAGGAGGGAGGATTTGCTGAGCAGCTGTGGTTCCCTCACCAGGTCCCTCCGTCTCCCCTCACATCCCTTCAGTGGGTGGGACCAAGCCCATAGGAGTGATGGAGTGAGTGGGGCCACGGAGCCGTGAAAGGGGCACCACGAAGCCAGAGTCTTTCCAGCAGCAGGTGGACAAGCGGCCCTTCCCATGAGGTTATTAAAGGAGAATAGATTGGAAGATTCAGAATGTGTTTAAAATATCCCTTAATCAGGTGTGAAAAGTCCAACAACCCTGGTCCAGGCTGCAAGGGAACCAGGGGATGCGATGTTGCCTTGGTAGCCCCTTTTTGTCCTCCTCTTTTTTTGTGCTCAGCAATAAGGAGCATGTGGGGAGGAAGGAGAGGTCAGTGTTTGGTTGGAAACGTGACATCCGCCCCCTCCGAGAAGCCCCGTGACGCCGAGAAGCCCCAGGAAGGAGGTGGTGCTGCGGCTGGTGTGGTCACCCCTGTTCCCACACAACCCTTGGGTATCTACTTCTTTATTTTTATCTGGCGCCTCGTTCACCTCCCTCCAGGTTTTTGCACAAAGTGAAGAGCCTGAAGGGCATGTGGAGGTGAAGGGAGGGTTCTGGGAGAGCGTGGCTGCAGGGGGTCCCATCCTGCTCCTCCCAGCCCAGCCTCCCATGCAGATGTCAGGATTTCAGCTGCCTGTCCCAGGTAGGGGAGCTACAGAAAGAAAAACCCCTGTTAGGGTAAGTCTTGTCATTCACCCTGATATAATCACCCTGCTGCAAAATGGAAACCTATGCAGCAGCTTGAGAAAGAGGAAGAAAAACCACAAGGATAGAAAGAAAAAGAAATGGAGAGATGCTGCACAGAGGGCCTGTGGTGGCAGCCAGGACAGTGGGAGGCCAGGCTGAAGCTCAAGTTGAGGGGAAGCTTGGCTCCATTCCTGACCCATCCCAGGCCAAGGGAGCTCCTCTGGATGCTGCCTGCTCCTGAGGGCAGCCCACGCCTCATCATCTGCAAAAAAATGCTAAATCCGGTGCCAAATGGGGAGTGGAAGCATGGGAGGAACTGCTGCCTGGACCAGCCCCACTCCCAGTTTTCCCCTGAGCTCCAGCTTGGTCATATCTGAGATAGACAAGCCAGAAGAGGAGGAAGCCTTACATCATCCCAACTTCTCTGTCTCAGCAGGTGCCATTGGCAGAGCTGACCTCCAGCTGCTCAACTACAGCCCTCGGTGCTGTACAGTAGCTCCAGGCAATGTCTGGATTGCTCCTACTCACCCCTCTCCATAAGTCTCCCATGTCCCCTCAAACCAGCTCAGTGCTGCAGACCCCTACAGAACCTGGAGCTGGGGACAAACACCCAACACTCCTGAGAGCTCACAGGTCCCCGGCATGTCCCTTTCAGCTGAAATGCAGCCCTCTGATGCCCTCTGAGCACCTGGGAAGCTGCACCCATCCAGATATTACTCCTCAGCCTGGCCTAGGGGGAGCACCAGGACACGCAGCCTCCAGCACCTCAAAAGGTGGGCTCTGCAAAGATCAAGTAAAGATTAAAACTCCTGTGCTGGTTTTGCCCTGTTTTTGGAAGCTCTGCTCAGTTCGTATGCTCCAGCATTTCTCTGCAGCAGCAATTTGCCATCAAGACCCCTTCCCTCCCTCACCCTTCTGCCAAGTGGGATGCATGGGGTTCCACATCCCCATTTCTGCAGCTGCCCACCCTCCTCAGCATTCTTCAGCTGTGCCAGGCTGCAAGAAGCATCTCAGCAGCTTTTCACCTGCAGCAGAAAACCCCCAGGCCCAAGGCAAAGCCTGCACGGATAAAAATAACCCAGCGGACGCACAGTGTTTCGGTGCCTCTTGCGTGAGCAAAAAAAGCAAAGAAAGAAGCTGAGAGCACACATCAGCTCAGCATCCCCCAGCGCACTGTCCTGCTGCTCACGGAACTCCAGAGTGAAGTGGGACGATGGGAATATCCCTAGGCTGGTGCTGGCTCCTTCTCCCAGGTGAGGACAGGGTCAGACCATGCCAGAGGAGCTCCAGCTCCCTAAAAGCTGGCAGATGAGATCTCCCCCGAAGTGTTTCTTTCCAGAGAGAGCTGAGAAGGAGGGACTCGGGGCAAGGCTGGCTGCTGCCCTGTGTCTCTCAAGTGTCCCTGTGGGTTTCTTTGCAGTTTGCCAGGCTCTAGTTGTCCCCAGAGAGGTCAGTGGCCGGGCAGGGGAGACACTTTCCCTTCGTTGCTGGTACCCCCGGGGCTATGAGGGCTACAACAAGTACTGGTGCCATGGGGCCAGCCGTTACTCCTGCCTCAAGATGGTGGAGACAGCAGGCAGGGAAGCACCCCAGCAGCAGGGCCGGGTCTCCATTCAGGACAATCACATCTTCTGCGTGATCCTGGTCACCATGGAGAACATCTCGGAGGCTGATGCTGGTAGTTACTGGTGTGCGATCGAGAGGACAGGCGAGGACATGATGGAGCCAGTGACAGTGAGAGTGATCCCAGGTAAGCCTTGGTATCTGGCTGGCTGAAGGTTTTGCTGGCCAAGATGGGGTTTTTTTGGAGAGGCTCCTGGCTCATGGGTCAGCAGTGACCTGGGAGAAGGCAGTGATGCAAGACAGAGCCTCAGGAACCCAGTATAAACCAGTGGCAGAGGTTTGGAGGGGTGACAAGTTGCTTGCTTCAGGGGACGCTTGCAGTTGCAGGCAGAGCATGCTGGAGCCCAATGCACGGTCCAGGCCTCGGCTGTTTCTGGGGCTCCCGGTACCCACCATGGGGCAGGCAGGACAGCAGGGCTGCCAGCTACATATAGCAGTGAGTGCCGATGCTGAGCTCCAGCACCGAGGCCAGGGAGCGCCTGTCAAACCCACCTCTGACAGCCCGATGATAAAACGTCAAGTTTGTAGACAAGGAAAAGGAGTGGACCTGATCCCATCAGCCTCAGGGAAACCTCTGGTTTGGGTGCAGAGATGTCTCACTGTGGGCAGACACAGCCCTGAGAGGCGAGGAGGGCAGCAGGGCAGGCAGGTACAGGCAGGGTGTGTCCTCCTAGGATGCTGGCAGGGGAAGTGATGTGTGCTGGAGGGGACGTGAGCAGGTATTCACCTGCTGCCAGAGGAGACATGGGGGATCCCTGGTCACCTCCAGCCCCCAGTTCCCACCAAGACCTTCTTTTATGCAGCCACATCAGCTCCCTCAGCAGCTCCCCCTGCAACCTCCACCTCCTGGATCCCCACCACTGTGACAGAACATCTTCCCCCCAGCATCACTAATGCCACAGCCGCAGGGTGAGCCCGGGCACAGGGTGGGCAGGGGCAGGGGCAAGGGGTCTCACCACGGCAGGCAGGAGCATGAGCCCATGTGCGAGGAGGCTCATGGGGACACACAGGCACTCACCCGTCAGCCTGGGCATTTTGGGGTGCTGCAGTGGGGGCCCAGGCTGTCGTCTCCGCTTTGCATCCCATCTTACAGCTGGCTGCCATGGGGCTGCGGGAGGGCATCCACACATAGGACACTGCAAAAGCAAAGCACCAGCCTTGTGAGGGAACCAGCCCTGTTCCTTTCCCCTCGCCTCCAGTCCGGGGGGGCTAGCCCTGAGCGCCCTGGTGCCCAGCGTGGTCCTGATCTCCCTCCTGGCTGCTGCTGTCTCCGCCGGGCTCCTCCACACCCTGCACAGGAGGAGAGAAGGTAACAGTGCCTGGATGTCTATGCCAACTCTTTCTGGCACAACACGCACTCGCACCAAAGCCCCCGCCACCCCCTGCAAGCTGGGCATCGCCATGGACCTGCACCATGACTTCATCTATGACAATGAGCAGGATCTGGCAGAGGTGAGGGTCCCTGGTGTGGGCAGCAGGCAGCATGGGCAGGGGCCATGTGATGCTGCTGCTCACCCTGGGCAGCCCCTGTGTGGCCCAGATGTATCCCAGGGCTGCGGGCGTACACTGTCCCCTCACCAGGGTGCCCGCAGTGACATGGAGCAGGATGCCAATCCAGAGGATGAAGGTGTCTACACAAACACCCTGTGTCAGGAGAAGGAGACGGGGATGCCCAACCAATATTTCCAAGGAGAAGAGGTTTCCTACTTGTCCTAGAGGAGTACACCTCGTGGCAAAGGGTCCCTGCAGGGCCGTTCCCTGGGATGACCTTGTGATTGTCCTCAGGGACGTCCTCGCTGTGGCTAAGAAGGCAAAGGAGCAAGGGGTGGCTGCTGCTGTCCCATCATGGCGTTGTGTCAGTGGTGTGGCACCCTCTGCCAGAGCCCAAAGTGATGCTGGCACTGTCCCCTGGCCTGTGGGACCCTGAGAGCCCCCTACCTGCTTGTTGCTTTGGCAGATTGACCCATGCCTCTCGGCTGGCAAGAAACCACATCCCTGATTCCTGCACAGGCTGAGGAGCGGGATGTTTTCCCATCTTGGCAGCAAACAGATTGCTTTGGGCTCAGATAAAACCAATAAAGAAATTCCTCTGCAAGGGCTCAGTCTGGAGGCGAGAGGGGATAATCTGGTCCACAGACCTGCTCTGCTGCTGTCATCCCCTTTGGGGATCTCAGTGACATCCCAGTACTGCTGGGGCTGTGTTAGGAGGGGGCAATGGGAACCAACACTGAAGGCAAGGAAGTTGATAGCAGCTGGGGAGGTCCGCCTGCCACTGTCCAGCAGCTCCAGGTAAGTTTATCAGCAGAAAGCTGGTTTGCAATCTCCAGCTTCTTCTTGAATTTAGATCTTGTTGCTGTTTGCAGCTAGTTAGCTGGCTCACTGGGAATGAATGAGACCACCTGATGATCAGAAAGAAAACCCAGGGCTTCCTCTTGCCATAGCGGAGGGACAAGGAGGGGGTGGGAAGGAGGCAAGGAGCCACCTCAGACTCTGGCAGGGTCCAGAGTTTGTGCTTTCTGCTGTTTCCAAGGGGCACTGAGGAAGGAAGCCATCGGCAAGGCAGCTGCCAGGGGAGCAGCTTTGTTTTTTGTGTTTGGGCATCTGAAAATTTCAGTGGAAACATTCAATTTCAGGAGAAAAACAGCGTTGTCACTCAAAGCCCCCAGCTGTGCCAAAAAGGTGCTTTTTGCGGGAAATGAGACACTTCTGTTTGGGACAACAAATAAAAGCAGCCCAGCTCCCAAGCACAAGCACATGGCACGCTCATTCGCAGCGATCCTGGGTGGTGTCACGCCGGGGGAAACGAAGGCTGGTTCAGGCTGTGGCACGACACCGCGGCGATGGTCTCCGCAGATAAAGCCGGGCTGGAAGCGCCC